GCTTGAACCGAGAATGGGGCACAGTATGAATTTTCTCGATGGTGCAGAATGAGGGGCGCAGAATTATGGCGCAACTAGGGGGCGCACAATGCTTATTTTGGGAAATGCACCGGCACATTCCGGTGGCGCAGGGTACTAATTTTGATCTCTCTCAATGCATGAATATTTTTGATGCTGATGAATAAAATTGAAATGCAAATTTTTGACACTGGTAAACTTTTACAGTACCATCTTTCATTGGGTAGTTTTCTCTACATTGTAAATATTTAACAACCCAACAATAAAACCTTGAGTTTTAAAGATTATGAACAAAGATGGTGACTTTAAGTGATGTGCAGATTGCAGATTAAAAATATTCCAAGAAGTCAAAGTCACGTTCAAGTTCAAAACTTGCATTGGAGTCTTGCCACTGGGACAGCATATTAGACTGTGAGAACCCATATGTGATGTGACAGTACAAATCCAAAAACAAAGGAATTAAGGAAAGTTACCTTTCCAAATGTACAAACCTAGAAAAGGTCAAATTATAGTTTTATACAGAAAAATGACAACCAGTCAGACTTTTTTTAACTTAAATCAGAGCAAAAAATACATCGGTTAAGTGCAATGTATTGAGTTGTAAACCAGGTACACCAAATGGAACAATATTTAACAGGGTGCTCTGAGATAACTGTAACACTTTGTTTTAATTTGTATCAGTTTTAACCAATAATAGAAAAATAATTCTTTACTTACGATAGGTGGGGAGGCAATTGAAACTTGTTTCTAACATCAGCATATCGTCTCCCTAATATAGGTGTGTCAACTGTCAGTGCTATGGCTTTGTAGCCAGCTTTTTCGGCTCTTCTTACAAGCTGTGCAGTTGCTTCACGGTCTTTGTATATATATAATTGAAACCATTTTAGCCCATTAGGATCTGCTTCAGCAACTTCTTCAAAGCTACAAGTGGCCCAGGAGCTTAGACACATTAGAGTCTTCATTTTTGCAGCCGCTGTAAAAGTGACAAGGGAACGTATTGGTATTACTGTAAAATGCTTTATTTAGCTGGAATTAATTTTTGCTGAAAAGACTTTTTGAGAGTTTTCTATGGAATTTATTTTCACTGATTTCTGATGAGTTGAATGTAAAATATAGTATATTCGCTGGATTTTATTTTCACTGAATTATTCCTTAAGCGAAAATAGCGAAGAATAATTCAAAGCGAAATTGAAGTATTTTACTTCACTGATTTTGTGATACCATAATTTGAGGACATTAATAGGGTAAAACTTTACAATTGACATGTGAAATGTTAACAGCTACATATTTGTTCATTTTTCAGAGCTCACAAATTGTCTAGCAATTTACAGAATACATGTAGAGACTAGAAAAATACTGGTACTTGTCTAGTACTTTTTTAGGATAATTGTATAGTACATGTATATTTAGAAATTGAGTTGTTTAGATGTGTTTACATATGTACTAACGCACATCTTAACACTGCTCTGCTTCTGAGGCATGTTAATTTATTTGAGTTTAGTAGAAATTGAAAAAATTACTGGTGGCCCTTTATTCATGACAGTGTATTAGCTATATTATTTGTTTATGGTCAGACAACATGGCGATCTTTGCTTACATACCTTTCGCTGTTGCTATCTCTCCATCGGGATGAGCCATTTTCTGCATAGCAGTCGGAGCAATACAAATAGGAAAGTCAATTTTTTCACCAAGTATGGTGGTAGAAAGGTTTCTGTGTGACACATCACGCAAGACTCTGGGCCTTATTTTATACCTGTGAATTCAATGTTACATAATAAGTGTTAAAACTTACAGCCACCACAGAAGAGAACATCATGAAAACCAACAAATGGTGCTTTTCTCCATTTTGTGAAGTGCTGTGTAGTGAACACACGCTCATACAATCAACATCATAAACCAATTTTTTTTATTTTTTTAAATACTTATAAATTACAGTGTCAGTTGAATCCAATGAATAAATATTATTTTAAAAGCGTTAATATATTTGAGTCGATCACAATCATCAATAGTTGCTCTAACCGTCATCATGTGAGGTACGCGAGTCACAATTCCATCAACTATAAAAAATCTATCATTTCAATTAAAATTTTAAAAAAATCAAAAAAGTGGGTTTGTACAGGGAAAGACTTTCCAATGTTCCACCACCCCTTACCCTTCAGCCCCCTTAGTTGCATATTCCCCTCTAGGTAACTATACATGTACATATCCTCAAGAGGGGCATACAAGTTATTTGGAAGGGGGCAAAACAGGTAGGGGATGGGTTAGAGTTAAGATTAGAGATGGGGAACATTGGAAAACCTCTCCAATAAAATATGAATGACTTTTTTTTATATAAATATTTAAAAAAAGTTTTATAATTCAAATGATCTTTGAAAATCATAAGACCAATCACCAAGCGATTAGGATGCATGGCCATAAGTTGGCTAATGATGAAAGAAAACATGCAAGACATGTGGGTAATGGGTATATATAATTGTTTCCAAAGCCAATGAAAGCTAAAACTTTCTGGGATACAAGTTTTATAAATACTTAAATATTCATATCTGCAATATAGTACACCAGGTTTCATGAAGGTGTAAATTTGTTTTACAAACATATTTTTAAACGACTATAAATTTCAAATGATAATGTCCTACTTGTGCATTTTTTTTCAATTATTCCAGCAAATGAATCACTGTAATTTTAAGCGTTTCAAACAAATTTGATGAGATCTATCTCCTGTATCATGGCAGTAACTTGGCCAATGATTAAAGAGACCTTGCAAAGACTCATGGGTAATAGCATTATAAAATAGTTTTATCGAGCTGAACTAGGAAGATCTTTCGGGATAAATGTTCTATGAATATTTATAAATGTCCATAAAACAAATTCACGCCTTTATGGAACCTGGTGTACAAAATGATGATTTTTTTTGCCGTGTGAAAGCCCCCCCCCCCTTTTTTTTTAATTTGTACCGATTGTAAAGATTATTAAAAGCAAATAATATTGAAACGCTTAATCAAAACATTCACGTGGCTTGCGGCAACCTGACTGGAAAGGACCACGGCCCAGGGAATGGAACAATTGAATGCGGAAATAGTGTACGTTGTCAAATACATCTTGGTTACAAATACGTATATCCGTAGTTATAATTTTAAGTGGTCCGAGCATGGTGTTTTACAGCCAGGCGAGTTTTTGGTCAGGGCAGGGGGTCAGATATGGTATCACGGTCACTCGCAAACCGTGACCCAAGATAAATGATGAACTTGAATCGAGTAAATATCATTACTACCACACCAAACCTTTTAAACGCTTCTCTATTATCTTTCAGTGTTTCTTCTAGATTTGCACCACTTCTGTAATAATCGAAGACATTCCTTGCGAGGTGCTTTTGTGCAAAACGTTCAAAATCATCAACACATACCATCGTCTGCCCCGCCATCTTTCTGCTACTAACTAGCGCCACCACGTAAAAATGAATACTTTACTTTTGTTTTTAACTACTTTCATTAGAAAGAAAGTGTGTCGCTGCAATGTCCCGTGTATTTCTCTATTATGATTTGGATGTTTTTTTTGTTTGTTTTTTCATCAAAGCAGTACATTTCGGATACGGTTTTCGGTTTTCTCTCATACTACGCCGTAACACCGAAGTTCACTGAAACAAAACTTACAACAAGCATGCCTGAATTCGCTGACACGTGACAAGGGAATGGAATTGTGGGAATACTGTGAGAATTGGCCCTTTTCAGCGATGTTTAATCTTACTACAGCTGGTAATCACACATACCTTGAATGTACAAAGCAAGTATCATTGTTTTACCCACTGGCATGTAGAGACTTAAGGTATATGTAAACATTTACCGTACAGTATATGTTGAGAACACATTTATTGCCAGCGCCGGCTCCGAAATATGAACATCCGTTCAATGAGAATTCAACAGACGGAGAGTACTGAATTCTTAGCGACGTACGTAATTTTTCACCAGTATATCTGCATTTGTATGGATTGGCGGTACGTGACACTACACCACTTTAGCTACGGCAATGTAGTCTAAGGTATAGCGAAATCTCATTTATAATAACTAGTATTAGACCACAGTCCCTGTGTTGAGGGACTGTGATTAGACTCAGTCACATTTTCCTCTTGCCGTGTGTCATTAAAAAGTCGAAACAACATAAATATGTTGAGGGCGCTATGTTTTGACTATCGGTGAATATGACCTTACACATACCTCAAATGTTGGTGATTGTATAATCATTGTTGTAATTTGAAAATATATGTTACCTCATGGTATATTTTATTATTTGTGCCCTTGTAAAATGTTCCTTCAGTTGGGAAAAAGTATGGAAGCTTTACATTACTTATCGGTGATGAATTAATTTCACCTTTTAACCTCTAAAAAATATAAAGTTTATTACATGTCGGAGCACATTCTACTTAACAGTCACGTTCATAATTACATATTTAGTTATTACAATGTACATAATAGTACACGGTTATTTGAAGACTGGTAATTCGATTTCAAACCTGTAATGTGAGGATCTCGTAGATCCTACGAAAGGGTGGTAAAAGAATACGTTTCTCGTGTGCTGAATAGATTTTATACAACGTGTTTATGAAAACAGTGCCAAGTCCAAATTTGTCCGTGTATAGCATTGCTATAAGCATCAGGCTGTTCTGTCCATCGCCGCCGATATATTCCAACTGGGTTACACATGTACTCATAGTTGTAACACCCAGGATGAGAGTACTAGTACATCGATGAATGAATGAATGACACAAATTTTGTAACCACAATACAAGCAATGTCTTGCCTTTGCGTCAAACACATTGCGATTAATCGTGGTCACGTGATATGAGAGCCGTAATTATTAGGTGATCGAGTTTTATCACTGATAGTCGTAAAATTGGGAGTTTTTCAGACTAGTTGTGAATTTTAGCATATTCTGGGTTGTCTGTATCTATGATGCACCAAGTTCAAGGCAGCCGTTTTAGAAGCATCGCCGCGAACACAACTTGAAGAATTTTCATTTCTACAGCAAACTTAACTGGATAGGGAAAAGCATGACTAATCTTATACTACCAGTTCTCACACGTATACGATATCTTCGAATTGTTTGATTCGTTTCCTGAATAACTGTGTGGTAGTGTTAAATGATACCTTATTACTAGTATAATGTATTTATGTGCGTGTTCAAGCATATTCGGCACATTTAAAATCAGACTGAAACAATTTTAATTACAATCTTTTTCACCGTCGTCATCATGATGTATCGTCACTATTTTTTCACAGTAAAGAACCGATCGTTCGATTCGGCGGGGAGTGTAATACCGCGAATCATCGAATTTCACGCCCGCGCCGTGTTCAATATGGGTTCTTTAGGAAGTATTCAACGCACGGAAATTTCATTATTTATAGGAAATTATGTGCAGGTTTTGGACGAACAGTGACGTAGAAATCACAGGAAGAATCGGTGTGCATAACGATAACATATTTTCCCCCCTGGTGAGTTGACTCACCTATTTTGTAAATAAAATATTTACATATTTACGAACAACAAAATAATAAATTTTCTGTCATCCCGTAATGTTTTTGGCCGATTTAAATGACTTGAGATATGAAGTTTAACTTATTACGTTGAGCAGCGGAGGTTTCAGTTATATCAAGAGTAAATAACATGTGAACAGAAAGTGTCCTCATAAAATAAATGCCCTTCAACTAGCTTTCCAAAGTCAAATATCCAAAGTTGAAGTCACCTGTCCTCCCACGTCCGATCAAATTATCCTTAGTTTCAAATTCAATACATATGAGGTATTGTTACACTGTAATTAATGTTAATCAGAATAGTGCACATGTCCACGTGTGCTATTTTATTAACACGTCACGGCATTCAGAGATAACTACAATCTGAATAGTGCAACTTATGTCACGTGATCCCGCCTGCGTTCACCATGTAGACGCCATGATTGCTGTCAACCGGGATTACGAACCACCTCAATGTGACATACACTGACTACAGTCAGGGAGACTAAATTGTTCCTGTCTCAAATGAATTAAATAAATGTTTTCGTGAAATACCCTACTCGCCGTGAAATCCCCACTTTCGCGGTGAGTGGTGATTTAGCGGTGAGTGGAGAAAATGATTTTTTTTTTGAAAATTACACCAATGTTTTTAAAAAAAATCGTCCCGACTGCATTGGACAGATGATGACGATACTTCATTTACTAGCGACGAACGTTGGTATTACGTGATGAAAAGAGGAGAGAAAACACACAAGCAACCCAATAATAACGTTGAAAAAGACATTCATGGACAGGACTGTGTGCAATTATGGTGAGTTATCACACACGTGACACGTGACGTGAAGTAGCCATGCCCTGAGATTCGTACCCAGACCGAGTCAACATAGTAAATGTAACACATGAATAACAGCAGGGAATGGGCACACATAATACATATGCGTGCATTCTTGCAAAA